ACATTTTATATAGATTTTCCTTATATGTAGCTGACATTGTTAATGTGATGACCCAAAGGGGCATGGCACAAAGGCAACCCAGTCACATAAGCGAGAAGTATCCCTTTAGTACCTCCAACTTTGCCCCCAAATGTCCAGGTTATCTTCGCCTGGAGAAAAACTCTCTCAGGAACAGCCTTTAAGTGGAGGAAATTCAGTCTGAAAACAAAGTGCATACAAACTGTAGCTAAAAATCCACACAAACCATGCTATAACAATTAACTTGACAGGGGCAGGAGAAGGAATTCCAGACTTGAAAGGCCAGCAAAACACACACACAATTGGGAAGACGCCAATTGTGACACAGATAAGCCTCGACAATACCAGACAATTCACGATTTACACCCAACAACTTGCTGTGCACAGCTTCCCTTTTTAAACACTGTATTCCCAGCTGTAGCTAATGGAGGGAATCAGGGCCCTTTCCTCCCCTGTAAACCATGCAACCCACGTTGCTCCCTTCTCCGTTCCTCCCTGCGTGCCCTAGGATGAAGGGAGGTGGGCCTAGGTCTCTCTTGCTTCTGTCTGATTTTGTCCAAGAATTCAGGTTGTCCTCCACACCATCACGAATGCAAGTTTGTAGCCCTAATTTCTCCTTCTCCTTTTGAGACGGGTTGCAGAAACTCTGTGTCTTTGAACCCTACTGGTTTCAAAATTAGATTCTGAACTCCCTGGGGGTACAGGATGCTTCTCAAAAGCAATGGAAAGCTGCTCAGAGCTGTGGAATCAGAAATAAATAAGCCTTCGGTGAATTTTAATCAGCTGCCTTGTTGCTGCAGGATTTATATAATTTTTAATCCTTTTTTATTATTGTCATCATGGCAAGAACCGTAGAAATGGGGGGTTGTTAAGTCAGAATAGATAAAAATTTACACATCAAAAGGAGATAGATAGATTCGATCAGGCTTCTGTTTCTCTTTTGAATATTTTTTTTTGGAGCTCTGCTTGTCTAATGCTGCATTTTCTGAACTTTGAATTAAATGAGTCTGAACAAGCATTGAGTCTCGATCTGGAAAGTCTAGCCACTTGTAGAACAAGATTAACATAATTTGCAAGTGAAATTCATGGTGTGTTTCAAAATGGGTATTATATGATTCAGAGAATTCAAGATAAAAGGATACCATTTACTGCACACTTCTAAAAGCTTAAACAGTTCTTGTTGAAATAGGTTTGGTTATAAAACCAGCGTGTGAATCAAAGTGGCTTTTGTCAGAAACCTTCAGTGGATGAATGTCAATCCAAGAGGTGTTTTCAGTTGCTTTTGTGTTTCCCAGTGTTGTGTCATGCTGGACAACTCTCAAAATGGTTCTTTTTTTGGTTGTTGTTCTGATTGACACGTTAAAACTGAAAGAGAATTTAACAGCTTTAGGTGTTTTTCGCTCACGATTCTAACTTGTCAATGGAAAAAAAAAAGCATAAGAATGCCAGTTAAAGTGCTGAATAGGTCACAAGAAACCAGCTTTGGTTCTTTTTCCTGGAAGGCTGAATCGATCTATCACCATTGCTCTTCCTGATAAGCCAGGATATTAAAAGGGTTGGACCCTTGTTTAAATGACACACGGAGTGATGTTTCTCCCATTTGTTCCGGAGATAATTAAGTGTGTTCTGTAATCTTTCTCATCATAATTGTATATTTTCTTCAGAGAACTGTAAGGACTACGGGTGACATAAGCAGTCTTCCAATACCTTAAGGCAGGGGTCACCAACCTTTTGGACCTCGGGGACCACCAAGCTCATAATTTTAAATCCCGCAGACCAGAAAATCCCCCAAAAAGTCTGCAGGAAAATTCCCCACTCCGTTTTCCTACCAATTGATCGTTCTTTATTTGGGATCGCAGGATACCATCTCCAGCTCCATTCTCAGGGTGGGGGGGGGGAGAGAGAGAGAGAGAGAGACTTTTGACTTCATGCAAGGAAAGCAGCAGAAGCAGCCGAAGTCTTTCTTTCTCTCCCCCAAACTCCGCCAGAAATGAGTCCTTGTGAGACTTCTTGTGCCAGCACAGCCTCTTGGAGCAGGAGGCCTTGCAGTGTCCCAAAGACTCATTTCTGGCAGAGTTTGGGGGAGAGAAAGAAAGACTTTAGCTGCTTTCCTTGCATGCAGACAAAAGCAGAAGAAGAAAGAAGCGGAAAGAAGCAGCCCAGTGGCCAGGCCAGGTGCGTGGGGTGAGTGGGGCAAGTTCCCCCCCTCCGCCCTTTCCCCCTTCCCCTCACTACCTCGTGTTGTTCACAATGCAAGCAACACAAGCCTTGTGTTTCCACAGGCCATGTAGGCAGTGAAGACTTGTGTTCCTGTGCAGCCTGGATTAATTGCTTTGGGGGTGACATTTCTCTGCGGACCACCAAATTTTTCTCGCAAACCACCAGTGGTCCCTGGCCCACTGGTTGGCAACCACTGCTTTAGGGGATGTCACAGAGAAGAGAAGAGGGGGTCAAGCTATTTTCCAAAACACCTGAAGGCAGAACAAGAAGTAATGGATGGAAACTAATCAAGGAGAGAAGCAACCTAGAACTACTGTATATGTCTGTGGAGATTCTTTGTCAAGAAGCAACTGGACTTCTTGGTCTTTCCTTGAAGATGTTTCACTTCTCACCCAAGAAGCTTGAGAGCTGAAGAAGCTTCTTGAATGAGAAACCAAACGTCTTCAAAGAAAAACCAGAAAATCCAGTTGCTTCTTGAAAAAACACCTTTGGAACAACCTAGGAATAAGGACAATTGTACCGACAATTAGAACAATTAATGGAATGGATTGCCTTCAGAGGTTCTGGGTGCTCCATCACTGGAGGTGTTCAAGAATAGACTAGACAACCATTTGACCCTGTTAGATTTGCAAATGAAAGTTTTATTGCCGCTGTGTTGCTGGTCATTTTCTTTTATTCTGTTGCGGTCTTTTTCCTGTTACTGAATCTTGCGTTTATTTCTTGTAGCCAGGTATGACTAGGCCTAAAGGAAAAATGACCAGAAAAGCCTCTCCAAAGCAGAGTGGCACAGCGGAAGTGAGTCGGGCCTGTAACCTGTGAGAAATTCTGTATATAGCCCTACAAAATAAACGCTGCACAGTCAACATGTGCTTTCCTGCTTCCTTGTCACAGTTAAGCAGAAAAGCACATGTTGACTGTGCACTGTTTGCTCTATAGAGCAATACACAGAATTTCTAACAGACTGGGATGGTATGGGATCTCCTGATTGAGCAGTGGGGTTGGACTAGAAGATCTCCAAGGCTCTTTCCAACTCAAATATTCCATTAATTGCATGATGCTTCATCTTTTCACACCCTACAGATGCGACAAGGGGCGTTCCTTGTGAACACGGCTCGCGGAGGACTGGTGGACGAGAAAGCTCTTGCACAAGCACTGAAGGAAGGCAGAATACGGGGAGCAGCCTTAGATGTCCATGAATCAGAGCCATTCAGGTGACTGGACAACTCAATCTTTAAAACCAGAGCTTGAAGGCCCTTGAAATAATATAGTGCCATCTCCACTTTGTGAGAATTCTTAGCAAATCAGGACGATTTGAAAATCAGCATCTCAAATACATTGTTAGGAGCATTTGTGGTGTTTGCATCCAAGTCTAATGGAAAAAGGTCCTAGCAACTCCAAAGAATGAGCCCTAAACATATTGTTAATACATGTTGGGACTGCAAGGATCTCTCTCATAAACTTAAAACGGAATAATTTTAAGGGTCAAAAGTTTGAAAATATATAGGCTTGGACCCCATAAAGAAACTGGGAGACAACCTTGAACTGGACTGTTTGCAGATAAAACACATTTTATTTTACAATAAAATATGCAGGCTTGGAAGTAAAAAGAAAAAAGGAACAGATCCTTTATTAAAATAAAGCTATCTTACTCCCTTTCAACTTTCTGGAATTCTGTAGCTCTTTCATTGGAAGCCTGACATTTCCAGATCTTTTGAAATCAGGTTAAAGGTTTATTTTATTTTTTTTAAAGAAAAGGAGTTGTCTTCCAGTCAAACTTGACTCCCAGTAACTGTATGGACTCGTCTAGGCATTTTTCTTGACAATATTACACAAAAAGTTGGCCCTATTGTGTGTGTGGATGGGATGTTTTTTTAAATTCCTGATCATGTCTCTTCTAAGTAAATACCAAACTTTGAAATCAGCCAAATCTGCTTATGAATTAATTGTGAAAATACACTGTTGGGCTGAACTACCCTGTTTCCCCGAAAATACAACCTACCCTGAAAGTAAGTCCTAGCTTGATTTTTACACATGTGCCCAATATAAGCCCTACCCCCCAAATAAACCCCAATTAAGACTCCCAGACACTCCAGAGTGGACGGGTAAAAATTAAGCTAGGGTGGAGATGGGTATGTGTGTGTGGAGCTACCCTACCATTTACCTTTGGACAGTCATAGCCAGGCTTCGCACACCCCAACACCTGCCTTGCCAGCCCATTTCTTCTGCTGCCGGCAAGGCTGGCAAGGCTTTCCTGAAGGCCTCTGGAGCTGATAACAAAGCTCAGGATCGATCCTGAGGCTGCAGAGGCCTTCAGGAAAGCCTTGCCGGCCACAGAAGAAGTTCCTGAAGGCCCCTGACAGTAAAAAGGAGGCTGGGGGTGATGCATGCAAGTGAGGTTAGTCAGTGGAGGACTTCCTCCAAAAATAAGATCTGGTGCCTTTTTTTGTGGCAAAAAATATATAAGACAGGGTCTTATTTTCAGGGAAATATGGTACACATCTCTTATGTTGCAATAATGTTAGCCTACTTGAGTGGTTGGTTGTTTTCTTAATTGCATTTCTAGTTCTCTTTATAAGACAATGGAAGGTTTCTGAGTTTTTCACACTTACGACTGTTGCAGCATTCCCCCGTTTGGTCACGTGATCAAAATTTGGCCACTCAGCAACTGGCTCATATTTATGACAGTCGCAGCATTCTGGGCTCATGTGATCCTCTTTTGTGATCTTCTGACGAGCTGAATCTAGCCAGATTCACTAAATGACCATGTTTGTTCTGACCAAGGCTTCCTGAGACTGTAATTAAGCACATGCTTAGTCCAAACAACTCTTGTTTTATTTCAACGCTGGGAATTATGTTCATTCCCAGCCTGTCAGGAGTCCCAAACAGTCCCTTGAGATAAGCATCCACCTTTCTTTCCTTTGACTTGCTGCCAACAACTAAAGTGCCTAATGAACTGTAAAAAGCCAAACAGAGCACAAAGTCCACACAGAGCTTCAAAGTTTAATCTGAACGGAGTGAACAAAGTTGCTTCCTGCAAAGGCTCCTGTCCCTTTGCTCCTCCTTTATGTCTTAGGGGAGGGGCCAATCACCTCCAAGCCTTACGCCTGAGTTGCCCCTTTTGTCTTAACTGTTCTTGCCTTCTGGCAGCTCTGCGTATGCGCACACTGGGAACAGGCTCCCGCTATTCCTCTGCCTCACTGCTGCCAGACTCTGGAGGTTCTAGAGTCAACACATAACTCCCAGATGGCCTTGGCCCCATCTCTGTGTTGGATGCAAATCCCTCGTCCGAGCCCTCTCCAGACTCCTGGACTGGCCCATGTTCTTCCCCACTGTCCAATTCTGTTGCCGTCTCCGCAGGCTGCTGGCAGACCACAACAATGTTCCTCACTCAAGAAATGCAGGGATTCACTTAACAATGGTGGCAAGAAAAGTCCTAAAGTCGGGCAAGGCTCACTTAACCAATTTCTCACTTAAATTCTGGGCTCAATTGTGGTCATAAGTCGAGGACTACCTGGGTTTATAAGCCCTTTTTTTCCCCAACTGATACCCTGCCACTCTGTGGGATATCAAGTCCCTGAGCCAGAAGGGGAACACATCTAAAGATAAGCAGCTTGGGGAGATTTGTCTTGGAGATATGACGTCTTGTTCTCAGTCTCAGGAGGGTATAGAGTGGCGGCGGCTAACCTTTTTGGGGTCCTGTGCCAAAAATTGTGCACGTGCTTGCATGCTCGCGCTTGCGTGCCAACACCCAGAAGGCAATGCGTGACCTCCCCATGCTCCCTACACGTGTGCATGCAATCCTCCTGCCCCCTTCCCTGTACTGCGCCTCACCGCTGATTTTCGGCAGGTTTGAGGCCTTTTTCAACTTCCCAGAGGCTTGAGGAAGGCTTCTGCAGGCTTTGCAGGCCGAAAACTAGCCCTGTTTCGTCACTTCC